ATACAACACAGCATGCATCAATTCAATCAGAATTGACGGAGAAGCTTTGGAAGATGTAAAAAGCTTTACATATTTGAGCAGCATCATTGATGAACACGATAGATCTGATACAAATGTGAAGGGGCGGATTGGCAAAGCAAGAGCAGCATATTTACAACTGAAGAATATCTGGAACTCAAAACTATTGGCAACCAACACCAAAGTCAGAATTTTCAATATAAATGTGAAGACAGTTCTACTGTATGGGGCCGAAACCTGGAAAACCACGAAATCCATCATTTAGAAGATACAGTTGTTTATTAACAGTTGTCTACTCAAAACACTTCGGATTCGTTGGTCAGAGACTGTCAGCAACAACTTACTAAGGGAGAAAACAAACCAGCTCCCAGCAGAGGAAGAAATCAGGAATAAGTGATGGAAGTGGATAAGACACACATTGAGGAAAGTACCCAACTGCGTCACAAGACAAGCCCTCATATGGAATCCTCAAGGCCAAAGACGCAGAGGAAGGCCAAACAACAAATTACGCAGAGAAATTGGAGACAGACATGGGAAAAATGAACAACAATCGGACAGATCTGGAAAGAAGGGCCCAGGACAGAGTGGGTTTGAGAATGCTAGTTGGCGGCCTATACTCCATTTGGAGTGACAGGTGTGATTAAATAAGTAATTGAGTATGTTTGAAGCGATTACAAGTTCACCCAGTCTACAAATGGAACACAGATTCTGTGACCAAAGACCAATAAACTACCTATTCTGATACGTCCAAGCCCCGGTTAACTAGAGAGAGAAGTCCAAGTTCGAAATGTGGAAATATATTCCTCAAGCAGTCATTAGCACGAAAGATAACAACAAGCATAAAAATGTCCTTGGATAGCGTTACAAAATAGCATACTAAAAGATATAACAAACCAATAGCGTTTAGGATTCTCTCAAGTGGGAAAGATGACATGAAGGTGAAAAGAGCGCTTTTGACGCTCAAAATAAAATTACAAAAATAATTTATTTACCAAGTGAGTTCTAGGGATCTAACATCTCGAATATAATCATTTCTAGATAATGTAGATTGATTTGACCTATGGGTCTGAACCCCACGAGTGGGATCGTGGATGCACACTGTCGAGGAGTCTCACAATAGGACGAGACGGCCATCCACTGCTCCCAGGTTTTCAATGGTGGCCTAACATCAATCGGTTCATGATTTCAATTAAAAACTTGACAATCACAACAACACCTAAGTTGATTACCAATGATTTGTATTCAATCATTGTATACTTCATTTTCACCTTCTTACATGAATTAGATTAACTGCCACAGAACTTATAAATTAGTAATATGCCATAATTTAATCATTACATAATCATGCACATTACTCTTATTCCATCTAACATAGCATAATGAGAATGTAATGGATCTATGCATAACTTTATTATCCTACTTACTATCATTGTGTACAGTCATGTGTTCACAACGAACGTTTCTTTCAGCAATAAATACAAATATTTAGTTATAGACAGGCATATAGGATGTGAAGTAAATCTGAACTTTGTAAGTTATCCATTCTGACTACAACATCAATGATTCTTGGATTGAGCTATGTTAGTTAATCCAGACTACTTGGTCAAGGTCCGTAGGATTATTGTAATCAGTAGTTGGAAATATCAGGATATATGGCATCAGTCAGTCAGTCAGCTACAACGTAGGACCAGGCACGTATATGCATCGGTCCAAGTTGCCATACCGCATTAGCACAACAAGATGAACACCGGATTCATAAAAGTAGTTAATTCAGTGGTGGTAATATATAAAAGAAAGATTGCATATAGGGAGATAGTACAGGAAGATAGAATTAGTTCGTAGAAAGAAAGATTTGAAGTGATTTTAATCTCTTAATTTAAGGAAAACAAAGAGTGTATACGCCGACGCCATTGTGATCGATTCTGAGCCATGTCACCAAGAGTCTCCAACCATCAATGCTTTATATTTCATTAGATCTCAAATTTCTACATGATATCATACATCTCATTTCAGATATTTATTTTTCCCGCCATGAATCATATTATCGATGGTTTTGATCCATCAAAATCATCCACCTGAGCTATAAATCTTCTCCACCATCTCATTATCGATGGTTTTTATCTTTTTTACTACCACGGACAGTTACTGCATCTAACTTGGTACTCGTTTTAATAGTTTCATCTGATATGATATGAACGATTGAAATGATCCATATATATATATGTGCCATGATCTATGTTGCTTATAATTGACTGATTGAATAGAATAAAATTATAATATTTAATTGAGATTATATCGACATATGGTTTGTAGTCAGTCGAATTTTTTAGCATTATTGTAACGTGCTACTTGTAATTTGTCAGTAGTTCAAAATTTAACTTTAAAAATGTTTTTCAATAGAGATCATGAATTGACTGATGTTAGATCACGATTGAAAACTTGGAAGCACTGGATGGCCGTTTCGTCCCACTGTGGGACGAGATTTGAACCTAGGGTCTTTAGTCTAGTGCGCGAACGCTTAACCTACTGGACCACTGAACCGGTTTCCCACTCTGTTAATGTTTAATCTTAACCATTCCACGAAGTTGCACGACCATCTTCCATTGTACTGAAGTAGACACCTGTTTCTATCCGACACAGATTAGCTCTACTGGTCACGAATTCTCACTAAAAGTCCGAGAATTTTCTCACGAAGCTAGTCATTAGTGTGCACTGAACTTCAATAACACGTCAAACTTATCGTCGTATACAAGTCTGTACAGGATAATTGTATGTTGTTAACACTGAATAATATCATATGTTAAAGTCACCAATCAAATTATCCTTTGTTCAATACTTCTTCTACAACTTAGTGACTCTAAATTGACGAATCATATACTTGACCAGCAATATTTACCTTAAACCAATCCAGCTACGTTCTTATCTGTCCATTATTCTCAAGCTTTCCTCTATCCCCTGCCTTGAATCCGGAAGATCAGCAGGAGATTTCTATTATTATATTTTAAACAAATATGGTTTATATTATAGAAATATCGAATCTCATCACATCACATCACATCACATCATAAAATGAAAAATATCAATTACACATAAACAAGCCAAAAGTGGCTATGAACGAGACAAGTTGTAAATGATGAGTTGGTAACCTATTAGAAACATTAAGTCACAATCTTATGATGGACCAAATACATAAACAGAGTGATCTAGTTACTTAGTGATTATGTAACTGTTAGGGTATTCAGAAAATATCCCAGAAATTATCTAGTACTATTGCTGAATGAGAAATAGTGTCATTGCCCCATTGGTCAACATTCTTCCAACGTGTCATTTCTCTATTGGTCAATATTTATTTGTGTCATTTCTTGAAGGTTAAATCTTGTACAAATATTACTTTCTATTTTATGGTACAATGTAGTCTGTTTCTGGGGTATATAAACAGTGTATGTTTGAAATATAACGATTCATATCTCCGAGGCTGAGACTTGTGTTCTGGACTCCATTGGCTGGGCTAGACAGGGAAGCAGGACCAATCAGGACTCTAGGCTGCTCGCTTGTATTTTATCCGTCAATGTTTCAATCGATAATACATTATAACAGTAACTAAATTATCATTCATAATGATTAAAAAAATCAATCTCAACATTTACAAGATCTATTGCAGTGATAACCATGGTGATTATTCAATCTTATTGTATCTAATTAGAATATGTATTTGTATATTTCTTTATGTTGATAGGCTCGATTAACTAAAGAATTAGTTACTCATGTAACAAATGAATTATTAAATCGTATTAAAAATGATTTAACAATTTATGAACAAGCAAGAATCATGTTATCTACTACTGGTATACCTGTAAATAATTTAACTATGAGTGGAATACAACAACAACGACGTATGAATAATTTAAGTTCATCAACAAAATCATTTGCAGGTAGTAATAGAACAACACCTACACCAATAGGTTCTGATCCAACATCATCGGATAATAGTAGTACAAAATGTTCATCGAAACTATGTTCACCACGAAGTGATGACAACGATGTTGATGGTGATGATGATGATGATGGTGGTGGTGGTGGTGGTAGTGGTGGTGGTGGTGGTGGTGGTGGTAGTGGTGGTGGTGGTGGTAGTGGTGGTGGTGGTAGTGGTAATGGTAATGATAAATGTGATCATGTACAGAATTCATCAAGAACATGTGGAAGAAATTCATCAAATGATATGTGAGTTAATCAATTTAACTTTTGATCATAATTAGTTGATATAAGTTTTGTTAGTCAATCAGTTACAATGTAGGATTAGGTACATATATGTATTGGTTCAAATTGCCCCACCGTTGCTGCTACCTTGATGTGGTAGTTGGGTTTGACTATTGTAATGAATAATTGTCCTTCAAGGTGTTACCATGCCAGACAGGTAGGTTGAAGAATGGTAAGATTAAAGGCAGTAAACCCTAGGTTCAAGGGCGATGTATTACTGTTGATTGTACAGAGGTGTGAAGGCAGTAAGGTGTTTCCTCTATACAACCAACATAACAGTGATGCTACCTTCCTACCAGAAAGGAGTGTGGTTATAAAAGATTAACCCTAAAATGCACACCTTGCCTTATCTCACGTATATACGTCTCCGGAGATAAGGTTCCAACAATTATGGAGCCAACATGAAATTGACCGACCTCAGTCATTTGTCCTTTAGACACTGAGATCACGCTCTCAGGTCACTAAGATCACCCCTAACTAAATTTATTTTTCAGTTACCTTCAGAAGAACCCTTCCACGGTGTGAGCTACTGGTAAGTAATAACCGCCCCCATACCTCTAACAGCACTCAAGGGGTTTTCTACTCTCGTAGATGGACTCTTTATGTCGACCAACCCGATTAAAGCATTGGACATTCGCTTTTCATCCTCTCAATTTTGTAAACAATAGTAATGCTACGAAAAAGCAGTAAGTAGAACTTTTCTGACAGTGTTTGTATATGTGTAGCCATGTGATTGCATTTGGTGAAAGAGAGCTAACTCTCTTTACCATTTATTGTACCTCGGTATTTGGATGGCAGTTGATGGTTAGGAGTTAGCAATTACATTTATTGTTTTCATCACGAACTATCATCAGCTAAAATCTTAAAAACGCTATTCAACCAGATGGATGAATGAATCTCACGCCGAAATCCAATATCTGTTATCTTAAATCTAGCTGGTTCATCTATAAATTATAGTCTTGTCAGTGTTGTTATTGTATACATAAATAGATCATAGATGATTAATTTATAATTCTATATTTATTTTCTTTCTTTCTAATTGTATGTTTACTTTTTTTATTGGGGTCATAAGACGATTTACCGCTATACAATCAAGAAAATTATTAAGGTAGAACCGTTTATTGTGATCGTTGTTGTTGTTGCCGTCGTCATCGTTGTCGTTGTTGTTGTCGTTGATGTTGTTGTTGTCGTCATCGTTGTCGTTGTCGTTGTTGTTGTTGTTGTTGTTGTTGTTATCACTATACACAGGAAAAGGATGCACAGAAATCAATTATTGTTTGTTTAATGTGATACAATATTATGTATACTACATTTGTCGATTCTGATTTGAATTTGAGTTATTTCGATTGTTGTCAACAAGGGGGTTCTGTAAAGATTTTAGTAATTTTAATAATTGAAATCATGAGTCAATTGAAGTTAGACCACCATGGAAAATCTGGAAGCACTGGATGGCCTCCTCGTCCTAATATGGCGCTCCTCAGCAGCGCACATCCACGATCCCGCCCCCCCCTGCGAGATTCGACTGACTTCAAGAGACATTTCCTAGGAGTTCTATTGAGAAGCCATGACCAGTGGAGTTCAACCAAGTCTGTTGTGAGATATCAGCTCACTGAAGACAATGGTGTACGGTGGCGCAATTTTGTGTATTGGTTGAAGTTAGACATTAACACCGTTGGATACCGACCAGTTCGGTGGTTTAATGGTTAAGCGCTTGCGCGCGAGGCTGATAGGTCCTGGGTTCGAGTCTCGCGGGGGCGGGATCGTGAGTGTGCACTGCAGAGGAGTCCTGTACTAGCACGAAATGGTAGTTCAGTGCTTCAAGGTTTCCTAGGATGGCCTAGCTTCAATTAACTCATGATTTCAACTATTGAAATATATTCCAACAGTTCAGATCATGAGTCAGTTGAAGTTAGACCACCATGGAAAACCTGGAAGCACTGGACGGCCGTTTCGTCGTATTGTGGGGCTCCTCAGCAGTGCGCATCGACGACCCCGCCCTCTCCGAGATTCGAACTCAGGACCTAACAGTCTCGCACGCGAACGCCTAATCACTAGACCATTGACTTGGCATCCAACGGTGCTCAATGTCTAACTTCAACCAATCTACGAAATTGAGTGACACATCCACCTTTGTGTTCAGTGAATTACTATCTCATAACAGACCTGGTTGAACTCCACTGGTCACTACTTCTCACTAGAACTCCAGGACATCCCTCTTGAAGCCAGTCACTAGTGAGCACATGGTGAAATATAATTAAATATTTTAAATTTTATTTTCAGACCGATTAGTACTACATCAATTGATTTATTACAACAAACACAACTACCTGATTCGTCTACATCAAGGTCTTCAAGAAATTCTACTGATCAAGTATCGAAAACCAAACTATCATCTGGTATGTATTAATCACTTTATTCATTGATAGTTATAGTTATATAATATACCTTTGTGGGCCAGGGTAATTTGATATTGGTTTTCAGGAGAACCAGACACTGTCCAGACTTTCACGTGACAACCCGGACAGTACAGCTCAACCCCGTATAACAGGAGAACCAGACACCGTATACGCTTTAACACTACAATCTGAATAGTACAGCTCAATCCTGTGGCGCAACCACACAGGTACCAAGCACCCTGGTGGACCATTCGCACCATTCATATACACATTCACATCATATGTATAGTTATTCCGATCAATGATCACGTGAATTAATTTCGCACAGCACGAACAGGCCAAAGTTGATCTTTTCCGCTTACATGACAGTCAAACTCAATAATGTTAGCAATGGCGACATGGCTTACAATGTCCCAATGACAATGGCCTTTGAGAACACTGAAAAGCAACCACCAGTATGAATGAAATCAGTTAACCAGCAAACCAATTTTATGCATGAACGGTCAGAAGAACTTTCTAAAGTAATGCTGAACCATCCACAATATCAATGCCGAACCTTTAGTCTTATATGAGACCTTCAGCTCTACATAGCCATATAGCTTATTCATAAATGAATGAACCATTCAGATATAAGATGATAACAGATCTTGGATTTTTGGCACGTTTTGGCATTCTCACTGATGTCAGTTCGTGATGAAAACTCTAAATCTAGTCACTTATCTTAATCATCAATAGTAAATCATAATTCTAGTTCCTCACATAGGTTTATAACCCTCGCTTGGTTCTAGTTATTAGGTGGACACTCTCAAGATCAGTCTAGTGTTGCTTAAAAGGTCGTTCGTAAATTATAGTCTTACCCATTGATATATTAATGAATGATTTCAAATGTTATTATTCATAGAATAATTCTGTTATATCTAGATCAGAAGGGATGTTTTTGTAGATATTGAAGCTAGACCACCATGGAAAACTTGGAAGTACTGAACAGCCAGTTCGTCCCATCGTGGGACTCTTCAGAAGTCTGCAACCACGATTCCACCCTGCAAGATTCGAACCTAGAACCTATCAGTCACTTATATTTAATATCAGAAGGGGTTTTATGGATATTATAGTAATTTCAATGGTTTAGATCATGAGTGAGTTGAAGCTGATAGGTCCTGAGTTTGAATCTCGTGAGGCGGAATCGTGAATGCGTACAGGTGAGGAGTGCCATACTAGGACGAGACGGCCGTCCAGTGCTTCCAGGTTCTCCATAGTGATCTAGCTTCAACTGACTCATGATCTCAACCATTAAAGTTACTTATATTATCTGTTATTATTATGGTTATTCTCTACTATTCATAGTATTAGTCATCATCAATTAACTATAGACAATAGATAATCTAACAATATTATGTAACAGTTCAGTCTACTTTATCTCGTATTGATACATTGGATAGATGAAAACAAATTGAATTAGAATTCCTACCTATGTCTTCACATAGCTACCTTCAAACACTTGAATTACCTACTCTTATACAAGCAAACAATGTATATTTGGATATATGTGATGGTTAGAAATGAGTAATATACTCTTCAGACAATTAAGTGGATGAAATTTCATGAACTCCGTAATCAATACTTATATAATTATGCTTGTTACTCCTCGTGGAGGAACATAAGTCACCTACCAGTAATCTGCATCCAACTCTGTCCTCGGCAATTCTTTCTATTTGATTTTAAGTTCTTATTCATCCTTTGGATGCCTGTTTCCAATGCTCGACTCAGTATGTTTTTTGATCTTCCCATCTTTCGTTTCACCGTCAGGATTCCTAGTTAGAGCTTACCTCGTGATTCAGTTTGATGATTTTAGTAATATGTATCCTATCCACATCCAACATCGTTTTCTAATTTTCTCTTCAGTTGGAAGCTGGTTTGTTCTCATCCACAGTAGGCTGTTGTTGTAACATTAATCAACACTAAAAAAAACGAATATTTTATGGTGTAAGATTATCAGTGATTGTGAAAACCATATTATTTGCCCCTCAAGGTCGAGGGTGAGAGGAGTTATTTCCCCATCTCGAAATGCTCTCACATGGCCAAGGGTACAATGCCACTGCCGGGGGAGTCCTACTCAGTGCTTTCTTTCGGTATTACTGTTATTTTCTAAATTGAGATGACGAAAAGTGAATTTTCGAAACTTTAACCGGGTTGGTGTATATTGAAGATCCATCTAGAGAAGTTGGAAAACCCTATGTTCATGATCATACTATCCAGATCAAAGAATAAACCACTATCTATTGAGACAAGTTTGATTAAATGGGAAAAAAAAGGTAAAGTTGCTTTGTTTATTTCATGACCTTATGAGGACGGTCCATGAACGAAGTCAAGGAAGCTTTAAGAAGCTTAGAAAGAGTCAAAGATATTCCATCCAATCATCTTATTTTGAAAGAATATTCCAGGATCTCTACGTATAGCTTCCCTATTGGACGAATGCTAATAACCTACTGTGTACGGATTGGATAACTAAAATGATGATTTTGTCTTTACTGAAAACTATAAATACCTGACAGTTATGTATCATAATTGATACTGTTTTGGAATAGTATTCCTTCTCATATATCTTCTATCTTCTTATTTATGACTTGAAGGGTTCTAGCATTCCAGTGCTCAAAGAACCTAAGCTTTAGATATAATAGAAATTACAGAATATGTTCCTTAAAATATGAAAACTATACATTGAATAGATTATTTGCAGATTTTCCTTCAGTTACCCTGTACATGATTCATAATTCTTTCTGTTCTCTTCAATTCAATCGTTTACTGACAAATATTCCTACTTCTTATCAGTGCTATATACTACTTATATTATTCAGCATAAGTAGCATACACTACAGTATCCCATTTTTGCATAGCTGGAAGAAAGTTAGGGGCGGCCAAACATAAACGCGGCATCAGTGCTTGAAGTCACTAACTTCTGGTCTGAGCCATGTTGGTAGATCCAGACTACTTGGTTGTGGTCCGTGTGACTATCGTAACCAATGATTGATGACTATGGATGACATGGCTCAAAATTGATCACAATGGTGTCGGTGTATACACTCTCTGTCTTCCTTTAAACCATGAAGTTAGAACCGCTTCATATCTTTCTTTCTATGAACTAATTCTTTCTTCTTGTACTATCTCCTTACATTCAATCTTTCTTTTATATATTCCCATCACTGAATTAACTACTTCTGTGAATCTGATGTTCATCTTGTTGTGCTAATGAATAAAGTGTAACAACATGGACTGATGTGTGCCTAGTTCTACATTATAACTGACTAATTGATTGACTTCATTAGTTGTATCTCCTCATTTCTGCAGCAATTTGGAAAACTCTCCCAGTCTTTCACATTGTACAAGCATTCCATGTACCTAAATAAATGGTTCCTCTGGTTGTCAAAAGGGTCATCGGCCACGTGACTTCCAAAGGAACTCGGCTTTCATTATGAGGCATCATAATTCTTCTAAACGAAGACCTTCTGACTCCCAGGGCAGAGTTTAAATGGTTCGAATAATTTTTTCTGGTTAGTGTTTTTTTTTTGGGGGGGGGTGTTAGTTTTCTACGGGATGGACCCAGGACAGAGTGGGTTGAAGAATGCTGGTCGGCGGCCTATGCTCCATTAGGAGTAACAGGCCTAAGTAAGTAAGTAAGTAATTGACTGACTAACCGATCAACTTTGTATGGTTATCATTATTATTATCCTTATACTTGATCAATCACATCTATAATTTCATTTTTAGAAAGAAAGCAGTAATGGAAAGTAAATGAAATACATTTGAATCAAATGAACAATTCATTCTAAATCAATTTGTAATATGTTACTATTTTTTAAAGATTGAATTAAGTTGCTATGGTTACAATGATCAATGATATAATGTTACTTTATTGATTTCTTTATAAAATAAATTATTCTAATAAATAGATGATATCAGAAGGGGGGTGGGTTCTTGGTGGATAATATTAGTAATTTTAATGGTTTCAATGATAAGTTAATTGAAGTTAGACCATTATGGAAAACCTGAAACAACTTGACGGTCGTTTCGTTCTAGTATGAGATTCTTCAGCTGTATGCATCCATGATCTCACTCTACCCCCACCCGTGAGATTTGAACCCAGGATCTATCAGTCTCGTGCATGAACGCTTCACCATTAAACCACTGAACAAGCCAATCCAATGTTATAGTAATTTTAAAAGTTGAGATCATGAGTCAATTAAAGGTAGACTATCATGATAAACTTATAAGTATTGGATGGCTGTTATATTCTATTGCCATGGGTTCGAGTCTTGTGTGGCAAATTCGTGGATGCTCACTGGTGAAGAGTTTTGTCATAGGACGAAACGGTCGTCCAGTATTTTCAGATTTTTCATGATGCTCTAGATTCAGTTGAACTTCAATTCTTTCGTATAATGAGTAGGATATAAAGAAAACCAAGCTGGATAATATTCAATCAACGAAAATAAACTAATAAAAAAACAACGTAAATAGAGAAAAATTAAGGTTCTCAAATATAACATGGATAACACTAATCCATTCACATTTGAAAAAGAAATTGCGAATTAGATGGAATCTTTCAAATACCTGAGAGGAACATTATCGATGAACAAAGTGGATCTGATGCAGATAAGAAGATGAAGATTAGTAAAACAAGGACAGCATTCCTATAATTGAAAAAGAAATGAAACTGAAACAACTATCAACTAATATTCAATACGAACATCAAGACAGTTTAACTGTACAGAGCTGAAACTTGGAGAACTACCACAACCATTAGATGGAATCTTTCAAATACCTGAGAGGAACATTATCGATGAACAAAGTAGATCTGATGCAGATAAGAAGATGAAGATTAGTAAAAGAAGGACAGCATTCCTATAATTGAAAAAGAAATGAAACTGAAACAACTATCAACTAATATTCAATACGAACATCAAGACAGTTTAACTGTACAGAGCTGAAACTTGGAGAACTACCACAACCATTAGATGGAATCTTTCAAATACCTGAGAGGAACATTATCGATGAACAAAGTGGATCTGATGCAGATAAGAAGATGAAGATTAGTAAAAGAAGGACAGCATTCCTATAATTGAAAAAGAAATGAAACTGAAACAACTATCAACTAATATTCAATACGAACATCAAGACAGTTTTAACTGTACAGAGCTGAAACTTGGAGAACTACCACAACCATTAGATGGAATCTTTCAAATACCTGAAGGAACATTATCGATGAACAAAGTGGATCTGATGCAGATAAGAAGATGAAGATTAGTAAAACAAGGACAGCATTCCTATAATTGAAAAAGAAATGAAACTGAAACAACTATCAACTAATATTCAATACGAACATCAAGACAGTTTAACTGTACAGAGCTGAAACTTGGAGAACTACCACAACCATTAGATGGAATCTTTCAAATACCTGAGAGGAACATTATCGATGAACAAAGTAGATCTGATGCAGATAAGAAGATGAAGATTAGTAAAAGAAGGACAGCATTCCTATAATTGAAAAAGAAATGAAACTGAAACAACTATCAACTAATATTCAATACGAACATCAAGACAGTTTAACTGTACAGAGCTGAAACTTGGAGAACTACCACAACCATTAGATGGAATCTTTCAAATACCTGAAGGAACATTATCGATGAACAAAGTGGATCTGATGCAGATAAGAAGATGAAGATTAGTAAAAGAAGGACAGCATTCCTATAATTGAAAAAGAAATGAAACTGAAACAACTATCAACTAATATTCAATACGAACATCAAGACAGTTTAACTGTACAGAGCTGAAACTTGGAGAACTACCACAACCATTAGATGGAATCTTTCAAATACCTGAAGGAACATTATCGATGAACAAAGTGGATCTGATGCAGATAAGAAGATGAAGATTAGTAAAACAAGGACAGCATTCCTATAATTGAAAAAGAAATGAAACTGAAACAACTATCAACTAATATTCAATACGAACATCAAGACAGTTTAACTGTACAGAGCTGAAACTTGGAGAACTACCACAACCATTAGATGGAATCTTTCAAATACCTGAGAGGAACATTATCGATGAACAAAGTGGATCTGATGCAGATAAGAAGATGAAGATTAGTAAAACAAGGACAGCATTCCTATAATTGAAAAAGAAATGAAACTGAAACAACTATCAACTAATATTCAATACGAACATCAAGACAGTTTAACTGTACAGAGCTGAAACTTGGAGAACTACCACAACCATTAGATGGAATCTTTCAAATACCTGAGAGGAACATTATTGATGAACAAAGTGGATCTGATGCAGATAAGAAGATGAAGATTAGTAAAACAAGGACAGCATTCCTATAATTGAAAAAGAAATGAAACTGAAACAACTATCAACTAATATTCAATACGAACATCAAGATAGTTTAACTGTACAGAGCTGAAACTTGGAGAACTACCACAACCATTAGATGGAATCTTTCAAATACCTGAGAGGAACATTATTGATGAACAAAGTGGATCTGATGCAGATAAGAAGATGAAGATTAGTAAAACAAGGACAGCATTCCTATAATTGAAAAAGAAATGAAACTGAAACAACTATCAACTAATATTCAATACGAACATCAAGACAGTTTAACTGTACAGAGCTGAAACTTGGAGAACTACCACAACCATTAATAAAACACCACAAATAATAATAATATAAACAAATGTCTAAGTAAAATATACAATGTCCGTTGATCAATGAACATAGGCATAAGCCTACGAAAAAAAAAAAGAGAAAATAGGAGGTACATCTGACGAAAAAATTAGTAAACCAAGTAGTAAGTGGATAGAAATCACAGGGAACAATCAAATACAACAAAAAGAGACAAGCTATAAACTGGATTGATGACGAGAAATAGGAATAAAACAGCACAATTAAGAAACAAAATAAGGAATTGGAAGCAAATATGAAAAAATAAAAAACAACTGCACAAAAGTGGAAATGATCAGCGAGGACAAAAAAGGGTGAATTAATCACATATAAAGGAACACACAAAATTTTCCAGTGCTCACTTCCACCGATTTCTCTCCGATTGCCCTCATTTCTCCTGCTTCGCTCAAACCTCTTCCATCCTATCCACCACTAATCACATGTGCACAACACACTCATTCTCGCAATCCACAACTATTCACTCTGCATTGCTACCACTCTGGTTGAGTGGTTCTGAGACCAGCGATTTCGTGTCAACCATAACCAACACAAACAAATCTTCTCTCCCAGTCTCAACACCCATAATAGTGATCACACGATAGGTGCACATAACGCCAACACAAACACTAAAAACCACAATCACTATTAGTGACCATAAGATTAGTGATAATCAGCAGGTAAATGACCGTCAGTGTCAAGGTGGTTTTCATCGTAATCGTCATCGTCATAATCATCACCATCATCATTAGAATAATCGGATCGATAGTCGGTGATCAAACTAGTCACGATAACAATATCATCATCATCATCATCATCATCATCATCATCATCATCATCATCAACAACAACAACAACAACAACAACAACAACAACAACAACAGCAAGAACATGATCAACGAGAACAATGACAACCGTAATAGTGACGACGATAGTAATCCTAATGAAAGTGGTGGTAGTGAGAGTAATGTTTATGATAATAGGAGTAACGAAAATAGTGATATTGCATGCTGGGTTACAAATAAGAGTGCTTAATGAATATGATAATGATGTTAATGAGAATGACGGAATTGTTGATAGTGTTGGTGATTTGGTCGAGTCGCATGTGGGTGGGTACATGTGCGAGTGGTCGCGCGCGTGCGATGTATGTGTGAATGAAGCACAACTGGGACGGACATGTATGTATGTAGTGTGTGCGTGTTCTGAGATTGTGGACGAGATAGTTTCGAGCGTTGTTGATGTGATTGTTGTTGTTCGGTGTAGGATGTCTTGAAAAGTTTTGGGCTCGTCCGGGATTCGAACCCGGGACCACTCGCACCCTAAGCGAGTATCATACCCCTAGACCAACGAGCCGTGCCTTCGCCACACCCTTTACCTTTACGCACTCATCCAACAACATACACTATCACCTACACATACATTAATCACACACAACAACTATTTTCCTACTTCACCAACAGACAATACACAATAAATACATCAATCTATCGACCAGCCACACACGTCACACACGTCACACCCTACCACTAATTCTCCATCTTCATCTCCACATAGTCACATAGACAGATAGACTGATAGCCAGCTTGCCAGTCTCACTGCCACTCAAACATACATCTAACCCATCACGTTCAATCCGACACCGACTATCTGTGCAGTGGGACAACGTGCTACAGTGGACTCTTACTACACATTAATGCTTTCCAGTGTTAACTATCACGTCGCTCACACAATGCTTTCATTCAGTGTGTAAATGCAAATCTACTAGATCGATGTGCTTGAATCACTCAGTGATCAGTAGGCGATGGTGGGAAACATGGGAATCGTCAATGGGAAATATATTTACGGACGAAGCATACAGTAAGTGCGATGTTGAACGCCACCAATCGGTGCTTCACTCACATCCCGTAACACTCACCTTCTTCCAGTGCTCACTTCCACCGATTTCTCTCCGATTGCCCTCATTTCTCCTGCTTCGTTCAAACCTCTTCCATCCTATCCACCACTAATCACATGTGCACAACACACTCATTCTCGCAATCCACAACTATTCACTCTGCATTGCTACCAC